CACTTGATGTATTTTTGAATTAATATGACGTATCCAAGTCATGGCTCGTGAAGTTGTCAATTGACTCACCAATTCGGTTCTTCTGCGGACTGGGAGTGAGGCTGTTCTACCATTATTTGTCAGCTGCTGATCGATTAATGTGGGAGTCGCCATTAACCTCCATATATGCTGAGGGCTTTCACGTCGTAACAGTTCTTGAGGTTTGTAATAGGTTTAACGCTTATATTATTTGTCTTCATAAACGAACCTAGAACGTAATTTGATCAGGCAAGGACTTCAATCGAAATATTGGCGCTGTAGCAAACCAAAATAGTCTTGTACACTATGAGGAAGAGGTCATATATTTTTCATAAAATTTAACGATGGATGTGGGTCATGTTGTATGCTTTATGGGAAAAATTAATAAATTAAGCGATACGATGTATTGTGAATGAAAATTTCATGGTCTTGAAAAAGCTCCCGATCGGAAACTATTTGAAAACTGAAAATAACCTTACCTCAAATATAGAATTTAAAAAGGGCATAAATCGGTCCCAAATTAATAAAAGAAAGAATACTTTGGTGCATGCTTTCTACACAACATATTTGGATTTATAAGGACATTGAAAATCAATGACAAACATGCACACTTCTTGAATAGCAATTTTATAGACTATGTTTTTGCAGGCAGGCAGGCAGACAGAAGCTTATTTTAAAGCAGGCATTCTGCTATGATTGAGGTAGCTTGGAACTAAGCTGCATGGAATGCGATATTAAAATCTCACTAAAGTAACATTTTTCAGACGAAAACATAGTTAAAAATTTTGGTTGACCTTTAATACGATTGGAAATATACTTTAGATATGCGATGGATGCCTATATGAGCTCATTGCTAGCGTCAATGTGGTCTGATAAACAGCCTTCCGATGCACACGCCCGCCCGTCCGGGGCATGTAAAGTAGAAACAATAAATTTCTGTATTCAAGCTAAGCAGCCACTTCAATATTTTACTTATTTACTTTCGTTAGGTAGCTAGGCCTTTAAAAACTGGACTTCAGTCGGTCACGGTTAGCACTGTTCTTCCTATTTGGCGCTGTATCCTACGGTGTGGTGGACTCAAGCACGGTGACCTGCGCGTGAATGAATTTTAAATGACAGTAGGCCTGCGCTGCATCGATCGCACTCTCTATTCCTCCCCAATTGGGACTAGTGTAATGACCAATTTAGAGAGACCGGAGGCGGGAGAGGAAACAGGTGTCGGGTGAGGTCGGAGCTGCCCCTAGGTGTATCCCCATACCTAACCAGTATATGCAATAAAATGACCAATCATATTACGATGGTGTGCACGGATCTGTCTTGATTGCAGCACAGGTAAATGGGCATTCATGCTCTGACTTGGGAGCCAAGCATCAACAGACCACACAGAATATATCGACGACGGCCATTCTTCTTTTAAGACAGCTGTACAAAAGCACTCTCTTCCACTGTATAGAAAGCTTGTACCAAGAGATCTTAACGCACTTTGTAGTGTTGGCCAAGTCAACCATATATCGCAAGTAAAGACATGCTAGAAGTGACAACAAAATCCTCCAGATCTCTGTCACTATGACAAGAACGCGGCAGTATAGGGCTAGGGGAGAGTGGACCGGCTTGCGATGAAAGATCCGAACCTCAAATTGCTGAAACTAAATGCGAACTAAGTTTAGATGAAAAGCACAATATTTTTGTCTCTCCCCATATATGTGGATCAATATCATCTAATCTCAAAAATAATAAACTTTTGCAAAATGTTCCCGAACACTAGACAGAGTTTGCTTTTTTCTCGTCACGCGTTATTTCGGTGTCGAGATAAGTTAAAACATATACCGCTACTTAAACCACACTAGAAGAGACTAGTCAATACTCCCGATCGTAGTCTACATGTCGCGAGC